TTGTCCTATAATATTTTTTTTTCAGTCATCAGGCGTGAATAATACCCCGGTCTATGAAGTATCAAGACTTTCTCATGATTGACTTTTGAAAAGTTATTTAGAGCCACGCGTGAGTAGGACAACCCTTGAAGAATCCCCATCAAACCTCAAGCTTGGTGTGAATGTACAGTACTAGGCCACTTTTTTTCACTCATTTTGCTACTGATTCCCCTCAGACGCGCGTAAAAATTCTTATAAAATAATTTGTTATTTGAAAAAAATAAACAAATATATTCCTTTTGGACTGAATATTTTCAGGAATTTGCCGATGGAGCCATCTGATGAGAATGAACTCCCGGACCCTTATGCCAAAGTGAGCATTTTGCCAGACCGTGTGGCCACGAAGCAGAAAACCACGCATGTCAAGGACGACAGGAACCCAGTGTTTGACATTTCGTTTGAATTTAACGTTGGAAAGGCTGAACTTTGCGCGAGAACCCTGGAGGTCATCATATTATCCAAGAAGGGCAAAGTCGCGAAATTGTTCCGGAAGTCTCCAGTTTTGGGACACGTGAGTTTTTTTTTAATTTTATTTATATTTTTAAAATGTAGAAAATTGTGTCATCTTTAAACCCCATCTGCTGGGATATTTTTTTACAGTACTGTACAGTATTGTGAGGTATAAAATATCTTTCGACCAAGAATGTTTTTGTGCTTCAAAAGCTTTACTTTTAGTTGACACTAGAATAACTTTCCCTTCAGTAAAAGTGAGATTGGCTTTTAAGGTCTGGATTTTTGGTGAGCGCCACTTTTAAGAATGAGTGGGATCTCTTCTTTTATTTCCAGTTTGTTGCTATCATTGCAAAATTTAATCATTGTATGCAGTTTTTTTAATGAACAATCACCATTCTTACCAGTGGACCTTGAACATGCAACCAGCTTCAAACGTTGGCATTTTTAAAAATGTTTCTAGAATTTTGAACATGATGTCCAGGTGTGCTTGAGGACCCCCAGCTTGTGGACAAATTAAACTGGAGGAGATTTCCTCTTTGCAGCAATGGTTGTATTCAAGAAATGGATGTACTGTATGATCTTCTTTCTATAGATAAGCTAATGAAATTGATATGTTTGCCCAACTTGCAACAATTAAATGGCGAATCAGACAATAGGCACTCATAAAAGGTCTCTCAATCAACACAATTCATCACCTCAGACATTCAAAATAAAGTGTGACAGGCTAGAAGGGTGTTGTCCTTGAAAATTGCCCATGATCAGAAGCAATGCAAGTTGTAAGGTAAAACCACAGCACCAGGATGCATGTCTGTGGTAACTATTTTTTGAATTTAAATTGAGACTCAGAAAAATACCTCAGATGATAATATGATGTCTTAAGAGCATCTGGCTCTTTCACCTGTCATGGCGGACTTGGCCTTGTTTGAAATAATAAGACTTATCCTTTTGGGGGTTTTTTCAGATCCGTGTTCCATTGGGACAGCTGGAAACTGCTGTGGACCACAAGATGATAGCGGAGTGGTTTGACCTTTTGCCAGCTATTGATGACATTGACGACTAAATTGACGGCTCGAAACAAGGAACAAAACCTTTTCTCCTTCCAATTCATTGCATCAGATGAGATATTTCGCTTAATAGTTTAAAAAAAAATGATAGGCTCTCAGTACCAAAGGAACGTTTTTCGTCGCTTTCACAGATCTGGGAAAAGGATCTGAAACTCGCTTGTGTCATATTTTACGAAATGCCAAAATCTTAGCCTAAGAAACTCAACTAGTATTCTAATGGCATTTTTGTTTATGAATCGTTTGAGAATCTTGACCTTATTGCAACTAACGAGCTGTGTACGTAT